CGATGACATCGACCGCACTCCGTGAAAACGCAACTCGAACTCTGTGTATGCGTGTGTGTGTATGTGTGTGTGTGTGTGTGTGTGTGTGTGTGTGTGTGTGTGTGTGTGTGTGTGTGTGTGTGTGTGTGTGTGTGTGTATGCGTGTGTGTGTATGTATGTATGCCTGTGTGTGCGTGCAAGCGTGTGTGTGTGTGTGCGTGTTTCTTGTGTAAGCTGAAAGACGCGAAAAATTATTGAAATAGCTATTGTTCCAAGGGTTCAGGGGATCTCGTAGTCGAGCAGTCTCGACTATAGCTTTCTTACTTGTTATAAAGTATGTTTGGTTATTACCTATGCATCGTACCCAATAACTCATCTTACTCGTAGGCCAAGGAAACACCTTTGCTCAGGCTTCATCAAAAACGAAACGTTTGCAATGGGGTCGGGAAAGGATGTCTTGGACCCGTAGTCAATGGGATACCATCATATTTAGCGATGAAGCTAACTTTTATGTTAGTGTTGGCGATACGAGAAAACAAACCTTAAAAACGCAGAGTTTTCTACATGAAACTTTCAGATTATGATTATAACATGAATATACATGTATTTGTCAAAGCACAAGTCTCTAGTACTTGATATACGCCTTGTACAAAGGTGATGGTGAGGGGGTGGATATAGGGGTGGGGGGTAAATAACAATAAAAATCGAAATTATATTAACGAAACCATTATACCCTGATTTCCCATTTTCAATGGGTTCAGGGTATAACAAGTAAGAAAGCTCTAGTCGAGACTACTCGACTACGAGATCCCCTGAACCCTTGGAGTAATAGCTATTTCAATCATTTTTCGCGTCTTTCAGCTTACACAAGAAACACGCACACACACACGCATACACACACGCACATACACAGACAAGCACTCACGCATAAACACGCATGGGCTGCAGTGTGAGCTTACTATGAGAACTTAATTGTTTAATAACTTTTGTGGACATACGATCTTCATGAAACTTTCAGATTATGATTAAACCATGGATATGTATTGCCAAAGCGCAAGTCTCTAGTACTTGAAATACGCTTTTTACAAACATGTGGGTGTGGGGGTGAATTTAAGGGTGGGGGGTTAATTTTAACAAAAACCGAAATTGCATAAATTGCATACATAAAAAATTTGGAGACTAGCAATAAAGGTGTAGGAGATATAATTTTATAACTGGTTTTCGATAAGGTTTTTTATCGATAAAAAATATCGGGATGAGTTATCGATTTTTAATGATAAACTTGATATGCGCGTGATATACACGGACCTAGGAAAAAAAATTTCAAGTCTCTAGCTCTTATATCTTCTGAAATCGACGCGTCCATACATACGGACAGACGGACGGACAGACGGACGGACAGGGCCAAATCAACTCAGCTCATCGCCCTGATCAAGAATATATATACTTTGTGGGGTCTGCCACGCCTCCTTCTGCCTGTTACATACATTTCAACAAAACCATTATACCCTGATTTCCCATTGAAAATGGGTTCAGGGTATAAAAACCAAATCCAATATTTATACTCATTCACGAAAGTGAATCAGTATATTGGTTTTGTGCAATGTCCGTCTTGCTGTCCGTCCGTCTGTCCATATGAACGCAATCTATTTCGGCGCTATTGAAGCTAGAGACTTGAAATTTGGAGCACATACTCGTGTATATCTCCGATTTATAAAGTGTTAAAATTTTCCCGATCCGCCCCCTAGGGGCGTGGCAAATCGGAAAATGCATTTTCCGATATACCAGAAATCATGTTAGTTAAAGAGCTAGAAATCTGAAATTTGGTATGTAGGTCCGAGTTGACCACCAAAGATCACGAGCTATGGCGGATATATCTACGCCCATTGGGGGCGTGGCAAATGGATAAAACTGTATCTCCTAAAGTTGTAAACCTAGAATGCTGAAATTTTGCACGACAGCTAATGGTATGATTCTATAAAGTCTAAAGATAAAATTATAAGTCTACGCCCATTGGGGGCGTGGCAAATCGGACCTGAAGATATAGTGATTTTTTAAATTCTCCTATATTTTGGACACTATTGATGGCAGAGACCTAAAATTTTGTGTATATACTCGGACTGATCACCCAAGACCAAAAAGTTTTGTCGGATATATGTCCTCCCACAGGGGGCGTGACAAACCGCAAAAGTTTATATCTCCTAAAGTATAATAGCTAGAAGCTTCAAATTTAGATAGTTGAGTTACTGGTAGCCTCCTCTATCGATTCCCCAAAAATAATTTTTACGCCTCTTTAGGGGCGTGGCATATCGAAAAATGCCCTGTAATTTTCACATTTCTTGAGGGTAAGCATTCAAACTTTGCAGTTAGGGTACTGTTATCTCTTTCTAAAAACTGACCAAAAATGAGGTGTCTACGCCCAGTTGGGGCGTGGCAAATCGGAAAAACCTGTATATTCTACAGTATTAGAGCGAAACTTAACTACTAAATTGTTGATGGGATGTGAATGAGTATTCCGCAGTCGGTAACGCCCGACTGCAACGTTCTTACTTGTTTTTAAATACAATTGCGTCCATTCTCGCTTGACAGTTTTGCCAATTGTCTACTCAGAAGCCAAATTTCTTAAAGATAGGCGACGATCAGCCTTAAGAATTTTGGCCAGTTGTCTTTTGTCGCGAGGTGTTATTGCTCATATTCGACCTCTATTCGCAATAATATTTTCAATATTCCAATTTTTCGTTTAATTTGGATCACCCCATGCACAGACGATGTAAACACATTTAATTGCTTACTGATCTCCGTAAACGTCTTCCCAGATTTAATATAATCTCTAATCAATACTCTGATTTCGTTGCAAACAGGCTTACCACTTGCCATCGTTGCTAAACTTTCACTGATCTGCACCGATTTAAAAATTTTTGCATTCTGTATTACTATATTATTCGCAGACTATAACTAGAAAGTGATTCAGTTACATTAATATAATTAATAATGGTCAATTTTTTCTTAACTTTTGAGTCAACCGTTTGAATAAATTTTTTTTTTTCATCGTGAGGAGAATATAAATTCTCTTTAAGGCGAAATGCATTGGTTTGTGTTATCTTTAGTAGTATTGATAATAGTGTTAAACAATGCACACTGCAAAAAAAACATGCTGTTCGAATTATTAGGGGTTGGGGCTCGTATCTTCTGAGACCTCGGCGTTTATACGGATCGACGGACAAACAGACAGGGCTAAAACGACACAGCTCGTCGCCCTGATCAAGAATATATATGTATACTGCTATGCATCCTTCGGCCTGTTACATACATTTAACAAAACCGTTATTCTCTGATTACTCATTGAAAATGGGTTCAGGGTATAACAAGTAAGAAAGCTTTAGTCGAGACTGCCCGACTACGAGATCCCCTGAACCCTTCGAGCAACTGATATTTCAATAATTATTCGCATATTCACACATACACGCACTCACACAGACATACGTACGCACGCATAAACACGCATTGGCTGCAGTGTTGGCTTACTATGGGAATTTAATTGTTTAATAACTTTTCTTGTAGATGGACTATCTTCATGAAACTTTCAGATTATGAATATAACATAAATATGCATGTATTTGCCAAAGCACAGGTGAGGGGGTGAATTAGAGGTAGGGGGTAAATTTTGACAAAAATCGAAATTGTATAAAATGCATATAAGTATACATAAACAAGTAAGAACGTTGCAGTCGGGCGTTACCGACTGCGGTATACTCATTCACATCCCATCAACAATTTAGTAGTTAAGTTTCGTTCTAATACTGTAGAATATACAGGTTTTTCCGATTTGCCACGCCCCAACTGGGCGTAGACACCTCAATTTTGGTCAGTTTTTAGAAAGAGATAACGGTACCCTAACTGCAAAAATGCTTACCCTCAAGAAATGTGAAAATTACAGGGTATTTTTCGATATGCCAAGCCCCTAAAGAATTTTTGTGGAATCGATAGAGGAGGCTACCAGTAACTCAACTATCTAAATTTGAAGCTTCTAGCTATTATACTTTAGGAGATATACATTTTTGCGGTTTGTCACGCCCCCTGTGGGCGGACATATATCCGAAAAAACTTTTTGGTCTTGGGTGATCAGTCCGAGTATATATACAAAATTTGAGGTCCAAAATATAGAATTTAAAAAATCACTATATCTTCAGGTCCGATTTGCCACGCCCCCAATGGGCGTAGACTTATAATTTATCTTTAGACTTTATAGAATCATACCATTAGCTGACGTGCAAAATTTCAGCATTCTAGGTTTACAACTTTAGGAGATACAGTTTAATCCGATTTGCCACGCCCCCAATGGGCGTAGATATATCCGTCATAGCTCGTGATCTTGGGTTGTCAACGCGGACCTACATACAAAATTTCAGCTTTCTAGCTCTTAAACTAACATGATTTCTGGTATATCGGAAAATGCATTTTCCGATTTGGCACTTTATAAATCGGAGATATACACGAGTATGTGTTCCAAATTTCAAGTCTCTAGCTTTAATAGCGCCGCAATAGATTGCGTTCATACGGACAGACGGACGGACAGCAAGACGGACATTGCACAAAACCAATATACTGCTTCACTTTCGTGAATGAGTATAAAAATTTGGAGAGTCTAGCTTTAAAGATGTAGGAGATATAAATTTATTACTGGTTTTCGATAAAGCTTTTAATCGATAACAAAATAATGGGGCAAGTTATCGATATTTAAAGAAAAACTCGATATGCGCGTGATATTCAAGTCTCCAGCTCTTATATCTTCTGAGATCGACGCGTTCAAACATACTGACAGACGGACAGACGGACAGGGCTATATCGACTGAGCTCGTCGTCCTAATCAAGAATATATATACTTTATGGGGTGTGCCTTGCCTCCTTCTGCCTGTTACATACATTTAAGAAAACCATTATACCCTGATTTCCCATTGAAATTGGGTTGAGGGTATAAAAAATTAAGAAATATACACACATACATACAAATTTTGACTTACTTGAATATGATGAGGTGATCAATAGTAGACACAAATATATTTGTATATGTAATTTTTCCGGCTCCATTATTACAACACTTACTTAGTAAACAACTTTCGGGTTAGTGTTTACAGGTATCCAAGCATGTTAAATTCACTGTATTAAATAATAAATATATGCATATATGATTATTCTTGATTATACGGTTCTTCTATATATTATAAGAGATAAACTGAGTGATAAACTTGTATCGACATATGTACAAACAAAATTCAGGCAAATGCAATAATAAAACCAGCTTGACTAGGAAATCACCTGGCAGTTGCGGCGAACGGATTTTGCAATAATTTTACGCGACGCTTAGGCACGTACTCTGTAAACTAAGTAGTTTATGCGCTTTGGTTAAATATGGACTTCTCTATTGGAATTTACTTGTACAACTTTTATTCTACATGAACTTTATTAATCTGCTCGACTAGGAGATACCCTGAATCCTCTAAACATTATGCACTTCTTTTATGCACACATACATACACTAGCATCCACACGCACGCATAAGCAGGCACTCTGTTAACTACGCAGTTAGCAGCAACTACGCTTTCTGAGAATTTATTTGTTGAATAATTTCTCTTGTAGTAGGACTTCATGAAACTTTCAGAACGTGATCATAATGTTCAAATGTATGTACATATATTCCGAAGCACAAGTCTCTAGTATTTGAAATATATTTTTACAAATTCTGTAAATTACAAAATCTTCGTATTCATCAAATGTACTAGTATATACAAAGAAAATCTGAGGCCTCCAGGTCTAAAAAAGTTCAAATTAGGCTTAAAAAAAAAAAACAAAATAAATGTATCGATTATCCTCGATATAAATATATCGAATGAGTTATCGAGAAAATATGATAAACACACACAGACATACGTACGCACGCATAAACACGAATTGGCTGCAGTGCACTGACAATGGTGGCTTACTATGGGAACTTGATTGTTTAATAAGAACTTTTTTCATGAAACTTTCAGATTATGATTATAGCATGGATGTGCGTGCATTTTCCACAAGTCTCTGGTATTTGAAATACGCCTTTTACAAAAGTGATGGTGAGGGTGGGTGGGTGTTGGTAAATTTTAATAAAAGCTGAAATTGTCTAAAATGCATATAAATATACATTTAAAATTTGGAGACTGTAGCTCCAAAGATGTAGGAGATATAATTTTATAACTGATTTTCGATTAGGTTTTTTATCGATTAAAAATATCGGGATGAATTATCGATTTTTAGGGATAATCTCGACATCCGCGCTGTAAAGACGGACATTAAAAAAAGTCTCTAACTCTTATATCTTCTGAAATCGACGCGTTCAAGCATACGGACAGACAGACGGACGGACGGACAGACAGACAGACAGACAGACGGACAGGGCCAAATCGACTCAGCTCGTCGCCCTGATCAAGAATATATATACTTTGTGATAATTGCATTATCTTATGACTAATTCCACAAGAAAATCCATATACATATGTATATGAATATATGCTTATACATATTTAATTGTTATTATATTCATGATTGCCTGATTTATACTTCTCCACTCTGCCTATTTTTCCCAACATATGTACATAACATTTCTTTCATCAATATTTAATGTTTTTATGTCCACAAAATTATATTGAACTGATATAGATGTTTTTAATATTCTGCACCAATAACTTATTTCATTCGTCTGACCACTGTGTATTTAGTAAGAAAAAAAAAAAACCCTTTGAAATTTGCGCTATTTTTAATACTTCCGAGTAACAGCGCGAGTGTACGTTTGTTGCAAAATCTGTATTACCTTATCTGCGTTGCTTTTCGAAACAAAATTCTTGACTTGCCTTAACACAATCTTCTTCAAGTATGCATTTTGTCAAAATGACATGTATTTTTTTTATCGAAACAATAGAAAACCGGGACAATTTCGGGTCAGGTCGGGACACCCGGATTTCCAGGATGGATGGTCACCCTAGTGTTGATGCATCCATTCAAATGTTAATACAGAGGAACATACATATGTATTTATTTATGTACATACTTATGTATATAGATAGCATCTATCTTTACATTTTGTAAAAATATAATATATAAACACAAGGGCATAACACATATCCTCAAATGCACTGTATATACAATTTGTACGTATTTAGATAAATATATAACTATGTACATATGTAGAAGTACACTCACACACACAAATATTTATGAATGAATTTTATAAAAACATTCTTTGCTGCACACATACAATGTATTTATATATACAATGTATGTATTTGTATTTACCAATTTTTGAACTTACAAATGTGTCTTTTACATATAATATATACATACATATATTCGTTTTGGACTGTGAATAATTTTTATTGTTTTTTAAATTTCATCCCATTTATTCGCGATGATAAACTTTACATTAAGCAGTTGCCGTGTGATTTATATTTCTTTATGTAAAGGTCTTTTTATTCAAAGCACTGCACGAAGACTAAATAAGAGTTAACAAGTATACTCTACGTAACTCTCGCAATCGCATTCTTGAAACTTATAAGTAAACCAATGGGAACAGTGATGTGCGTACTGCTACACCTCTAGAGCTCAGTATAATTTTGTATGCAAATATGTAAGTACATATTTACATGTTTGAACTTAAGAGAATCCTGTATTCATACACATACGTATACCTACATACTACGTACATACATACTTATGTATCTACATGATAAATTTTGTACATACACTCGAAAACATGTTGACGTGACTGAATACTCAAGCTAATTAAATGCTGCCTAAGTTTAAAATCCCGTAACTTGACCACTACTTTTAGGAAGCAATTTTAGGATATTTATGTGTCCATATGCATCTACATCTGTCTATAAACTGGGGTTGATTCAGCTGAAAGAGAAGAGAGTTTAGTACCTTCTCTTACAATCAACATCAACATACATATGTACACACTTATGAGGAGAGTGTTATTTTCGACTGTTTTCATGCAATTGCTTTACTCTTCGACATCAACAAAAATGGTATGGAACTTAAAAGTAAGGAGCCGACCAAATACAAAAAAAAAAAAAATTGTTTACAATTTTCAAAAAAAAGGGGGCAAAAAACTTTACACTGAACACCTAGACCGGAAACGTAGTGTAAAGCTTTTTGCAAACTTTTTCGAGCAGTGCGTCCCACACAACTATATACGTATTTGCACGACTCTTTTTATGTTCGGGCTACCAAACTACAGTGGGCCAAAAAAGTGTTGGCACACTTGTTTCATTAAGACTTGTTTAATTAAATTATTCAACAAATAAATTCTTATAATGTTGCCCACACTAGCGCAGCCCAATCGCAGTAGCTGCTTACTGCGCAGTTATTAGAGCGCGTTCTAATACGTGTGTGTGTATGTATGTGTGTCGAAAAGAAGTGCAGACTGATTAGAATATCAGATTAGAGGGTTCAGGGTATCTCCTAGTCGAACAGTCTCGAGTCTTCTTGTTTTTACTGTACTCATTTAGTACTGTACAGCATGAAATTGAGTGAGTACACCAACTGGTATTCATTTTCTTCTGTACAGGAAGATATGTGTACTCAGTTTCAGAGTGAATGATTCAATTGCCCTTTTGGATGCATCCATGCAGATGTCTATTATGTACATACACTACGCGTCATCAGGTTAGCGCCCCCCCTTACACTCATTATACCCTGAACCCATTGAAAATGGGAAATCAGGGTATAATGGTTTTGTTAAAAGTATGTAACAGGCAGAAGGAGGCGTGGCAGACCCCACAAAGTATATATATTCTTGATCAGGGCGACGAGCTAAGTCGATTTGGCCCTGTCCGTCTGTCTGTCCGTCCGTCCGTCCGTCCGTCCGTCCGTCCGTATGTATGAACGCGTCGATTTCAGAAGATATAAGAGCTAGAGACTTGAAATTTTTTTTCCTAGGTCCGTGTATATCACGCGCATATCAAGTTTTTCTTTATATATCGATAACTACTCCCGATATTTTATTATCGATTAAAAACCTTATCGAAAGCTAGCTATTTAATTATATATCCTTCACCTTTAGAGCTAGAGCTTGCAAATTTTAAATGTAGACTTATATGTATTTTATATAATTTCGATTTTTGTTGTAATTTACCCACCACCCCTATATTCACCCCCTCACCTTCACCTTTGTAAAAGGCGTATTTCAGGTACTAGAGACGTGTGCTTTGGAATGCACATACATTTTCACCATATGATTACGCTCTTAAAGTTTCATTACGATTGTACGTCTAGAAATTAAATTATTCAACAAATAATATATTATAATGTTGCCCACACTGTAGCGCAGCCCAAGCGCAGTCGCTGCTTACTGCGCAGATAGCAGAGCGCGTTCTAATACGTGCGTGTGTATGTATGTCTGTCGAAAATAAGTGCAGACTGATTAGAATATCAGATTAGAGGGTTCAGGGTATCTCCTAGTCGAGCAGTCTCGACTGGAGTCTTCTTACTTGTTTTCTTTTACATTTTTCTCTTTGCCTATTGCACGCAATTTCTTAGTTTTTGTTTAGATTTCATTATCATCATATGAGATGTCTCTCATACCAAAAAAAAAAAAAGCGCGAGTGAAAACCCGTTATGCTTTATTTTCTATTTTTCTTTATTTTCGCAAAGAATGCGTGCACTTATTTTGCGTCATCAGATTAGCGCCCCCAAATGCAATTGTAATTATCTTGCTTATTTTGGCAATTACACTCACCAAATTTTTTGTGATGCTCAAAGTATTCAATATATTTATAGTATGGGTATAGAAACAGTTTTATCTTTGGTTGAAAATCAAAGATTGAGGCATACTTTAAATCTGGACTATGCTACCATAAAATTGCTGAAAAAACAGGAAAAAACAGGAAACTAAGTGGCAATTTTCTTACAAATAGGGAAAACTATTGAAAAAACTATATAAGCGGCAATAATCAAATGATTTAAGAAGGAAATAGAAGAGCATTAGTTCGGGAAGCTTCGAATTCCCACGAATCGACCACCAAGATTAGGGATAAAATCGGTGTTAAGCCGAGCTTATCAACGGTCCAAAGAGCAATTAGGAAAGTTAATTACTTAAAGAAACAGAGTGTTAAAAAAAGACACCAGTCAATATGCTGAGAAAAGAAATACGTATTAATTTTGGCCGGGCGAACATGACGGGGTCTATCCAATGTCAGCCCGTTGTCTTTTCTGATGAGAAAAATTGAATTTGGAAGGAACTGATGGCTATAATTATTATATCCATGACCTACTCATAAAAGAACATTGTTTGGAATGGTTTCCAAGCCGCTGCGGCGGGGGGTGGTGTGGCATCGGTGTAGGTATCAATATCGTACTACAGCACTTGCAAGCTTCAATTTTTGACATCGCGCATGAACGCATAGGACTGTAACATCGTGTTTAAAACTGCTGTTCCGCATTTTTATAGCCTGTCTGAAAACCGGCATTAGATTTTCCAGCATGATAATGCTCCAATTCAGACCGCCCGATCCCAAAAAAACTGATCTCATGGAGTGGCCACCATACTCACTCGACCTTAATATCATTGGAAACGTCTGAGAATGGTTGGTCAGGAAAGTATATGAGTCCGAAAAGCATTATAGTACAAAGACAGAGTTAATCGAAGGTACTGAACACGCTTGGTCAACCATATCCTTGAATAATATTGAACAACTTTATAATTCCATTCCTAATCGAATTTTTGAAGAAATTTCAATCAAAAAACGGCACTACGCACTACTAATATTACTTAAAAATAATAATAGCTTAAAATACAGGTGCTATTATTGGTCATTAACTTAAATAAATTTAATTTAGCGCAGGGGGCGGTAATCTGATGACCAAATTTTTGTTACATGTTTTTTGTACAATGTGATTCTAAGAATATTCTAGAATATGTTTGAATGTATGTGTGCACACGCATAGGAAAACTGTTGTGGCTGTTGGACGTGCGTTTGTTAATTGGCCAAGCATTTTGTTATTTTTTAACGTCGATTGAATTAATGGAATTTAATGAAACTTTCAGTATATGATCTACATAGCCCATTGAATACTTGACACATTTAAAACAAGTAAGAACGTTGCAGTCGGGCGTTACCGATTGCGGAATACTCATTCACATCCCATCAACAATTTAGTAGTTAAGTTTCGCTCTAATACTGTAGAATATACAGGCTTTTCCGATTTGCCACGCCCCTACTGGGCGTAAACACCTCATTTTTGGTCAGTTTCTAGAACGAGATAACAGTACCCTAACTGCAAAGTTTGAATGCTTACTCTCAAAAAATTACAGGGTATTTTTCGATATGCCACGCCCCTAAAGAGGCGTAAAAATTATTTTTTGGGGAATCGATAGAGGAGGCTACCAGTAACTCAACTATCTAAATTTGAAGCTTCTAGCTATTATACTTTAGGAGATATACATTTTTGCGGTTTGCCACGCCCCCTGTGGGCGGACATATATCCGACAAAGCTTTTTGGTCTTGGGTGATCAGCCCGAGTATGTATACAAAATTTGAGATCTCTGGCATCAATAGTGTCCAAAAAATAGCAGAATTTGAAAAATCACTATATCTTCAGGTCCGATTTGCCACGCCCCTAATGGTTGTAGACTTATAATTTTATTTTTAGACTTTATAGAATCATAACATTAGCTGATATGCAAAATTTCAGCATTCTAGGTTTACAACTTTAGGAGATACAGTTTTATCAGATTTGCCACGCCCCCAATGGGCGGAGATATATCCGCCATAGCTTGTGATCTTGGGTTGTCGACGCGGACCTACATACCAAATTTCAGCTTTCTAGCTCTTCAACTTATATGATTTCTGGTATATCGGAAAATGCATTTTCCGATTTGCCACGCCCCTAGTGGGCGAATCGGGAAAATTTTAACACTTTATAAATCGGAGATATACACGAGTATGTGTTCCAAATTTCAAGTCTCTAGCTTCAATAGCGCCGAAATAGATTGCGTTCATACGGACAGACGGACAGACGGACGGACGGACAGACGGACGGACAGCAAGACGGACATTGCACAAAACCAAAAAATGCCAAAACATTCACAATTAGCTATATTAGCATCTGACTTTATTTCAGATGTTTTTAATCGATAAAAACATAACGGAATGATCTATAAATTTTTGGAGATGAGCTCGACGTCCGCGCTTGTTGCTTCTCATCAAGGAGATGACTGCCCGGATTGCCCCGACTGAAAAAGAGAGAATCTTTAAAAAATGATAGTAGTGCACACATTCACTCGCAGGGCAACAACGGTACTTCGGCCAATGGGAAGCTGCCACGCAATTTGGCGGAAAATTGCGTCACCCCAGATCACGCCACTTTACCGTTTTTATGGGCACGAACGGCAGAAAGACACCGTTACAGCACGAAGCAGGGCCTGTGGCTGGGCTATAAGAGGCCGCCCGCAGCTCCATACGGGTTAGTCAAAGAAATAGAAAAATGAGAGTGATAGTCAAATGAGTAAATTGAGAACTGAAAGACCGCCCAATGAAAAAGCAAAGAACGCGAATCGAAAATAAGGACATCGAAGAACTCCCAGCACTTCGTGGGAACAGCAAAGACATCCAGAAGCAATCCTTGCAACAACTTTCAGAGGAGAAGAGGCAAGCAGGAACGTCAGCGGCACCAACGAGGACATTGATGCGGACGAGGACAACAGCAGCAGCTTAAGCGAGGCCTGAAGATACAGGAGTGAGTAAGTTCATGTAGCCGTGCGTAAGAAAAATGTTGTGAGTGAAACGAAGCTAGTGTGTTGTGAGCGAGTCGTATAGTAGGAGTGGCCTGTACATCCGAGCGAACATCCGGATCCTGGCGTTTCCGAATCGCTCAAGTGAAACTAGCGTGGCTTA